TGCTGGTACAGCATATACATTAAGCCAGCAATCAGCATTTTGGGTCTTATAAAACAAATACTGAAGGCACAATCTAACCCAAAACAGTCTGGCAGGTTCCATCGTTCTTCTATAAAACAGAATTGACAAAGAAACCATAAGCATTACTGTTTTCTAGGTGAATCATTCAAGAAGCTCTATTGAAAAAAGAAAAGTAGGACTAGGAGGGGTACACCTCTGGATGATGCACATAATTATCACCTTGTTCTAAACTCACAAAATTGAAGACATTTTCTAACTGTCTTGTTCCCAAATAATACCTTGCTCATTTCTCTTTATAGTTCACATATAATTTAGTACTAAATGGTCTTTTAAAATGGTTAAACTGATGCTTTTCAGTTAACATATACATGCAATTCTTCAAGTTTTCTCTATAAGCTTCATATCAACCTGGTAATTTGAAGGAAATTGTCTGAAGGCAATGTTTCAAAAAAGCTTATTTACTTATCAATTAGCAAGCTTTTGTATGAAAATTTAGAATTGTAAGTAAAAAGAACTAGTCTAGAAACTGAAGAGACACCAAGATTAAGTCAACTTGTAGAAGAAAACATTTAGTTGGAAGCTAGCTTACAATTTCAGAGGGTTCCATGATCACCATGGCAGGAAGCAACCAGGCCTGGTGCCTGAACAATAGCTAACAGCTTTACATCCTGATCCAAAGGCAGCAAACAGAAATAGAGAGATAGAGAGACTGAGACTAGTCTAGAATTTTTTTTTTTTTTGGTTTTTCGAGACAGGGTTTCTCTGTGTAGCTTTGCGCCTTTTCCTGGAACTCGCTTTGGAGACCAGGCTGGCCTCGAACTCACAGAGATCCGCCTGGCTCTGCCTCCCGAGTGCTGGGATTAAAGGCGTGCGCCACCACCGCCCGGCTAGTCTAGAATTTTTGAAACATCAAAGCCTACTCCCAGTAACACACATATCCTCTAAGAACATCACACCTCCTCTAACAAGGTCACATCTCCTAGTCCTTCCCAGTTTCACTCCCTGGTGACTAAGCAGATTTATGAGCCTATGGAGGCCATTCTCATTCAAATCACCATGGATACCTAATTTTCTATCTACTATATAAACTGTAAACCAGGAAACCATCTCCATGCACCCTGCCAACAGCAACAAGTTTAAAGAGCTGTTTAGAAGGTCACAGGAATGCTGGATTATAAAACATTTGCCCTGCCTAACAATTATGACAAGAAGAAATAGGATGTGAAATGAACAGTAAACTGTAAAGCACATCCCAAAACGCTTAGGAAAAGTGGAAGTTTAACAATGTTTCTCAGAATCATTATTACCTGGCAGAGAATGAGCAGAACTCAGCTTGGCTAGCTGGTGCTCTCCTAAACATTAAGAGAAACTTACTGTATAAAACAATACAATTATTCATTTGTGACTATAAATAATAGAACTTTAAAGAGACAATAAACAGTGATGGCTACAACTTTAAATCATCCTTAGCAAAATATACATCTATATTTTCCTTTGAGTGAAGACTACTTATTTTAAAAATTGACTTTTTCAATAGCCTTTCCTAGTAGTTAAGAAATTCTTCAAAAAAGTGAGAAATTTTAAAGGCTGAATTAAAATATCTATCAAGACTTGTGCCCTCAAAGAGTAAGCATTAAAGTTAAAAGCAGTCAACAAATAAATGAGTTCTCTAATGAGTTAGAGCTTCACTGTTTAGTAAAAATAATAAATCTTTTATGCTTATATTTTTAATAATGAAATGCTCAATGCAATCAAATTTATTTTGCTTTGTATGTTATGTTCAAACTTTAAATGATAGTTTTACCCTCTGATAATTGATTTTCATATGTGAAAACTACATTATAATCCTGCACTGTTTATTTAAATTTGTTTCATTTATTTAAAAAAAAGTCAGACAGGCAACTTGGTATAAACATGTTTATAAAAATAGAGATTAGGTGCCTGATTTTTTCACTTTTTATTTATTTATTTTTTAAAGATTTATTTATTTATTTATTAGGTATACAGTGTTCTGCCTGCATGCCAGAAGAGGGCGCCAGATCTCATTACAGATGGTTGTGAGCCACCATGTGGTTGCTGGGAATTGAACTCAGGACCTCTGAAAGAACAGCCAGTGCTCCTATCCTCTGAGCCATCTCTCCAGCCCTGATTTTTTTATTTTTAAGACATCCAAACTATCAACTTTCCTAGAATACTACATATATACCAAAGTACATAATCTGATAACTAAAACTATCTATCCTCTCAACCCCGAGTATTGGTAAATCTTCAATTTACAACTGTTTTACTACATTTTAAGTAATCTAAATTTCCCATTTATACATCTGAAAATGTTACAAAGTCCCCTTACATGTCATAGCTATTTGCTCTGCTGTTTTATAATAGCTTATGAAATGGATACACATATAACATTTTACTTTGAAATATTTAAAACACAATCTAACCTGTCCAAAGTTTGCTTCTCTATGAACCCTTTACTGCCTTGCCTAGGGGAACTTCTTTGTCCTTGTACAACCACATTGTGGGCACATGCATCTATCAAAATGCTTACGAACACTGTTTGCTGACCAATGGCTACCAGTACAGGTACAACCATAATGGACTCACCTAAACAAATTATGTAAATCACTGCTGCCCAACCTATCATCTCATCAGTATTTTACTTTCATGAGTATATGTGTATACATGTTTATATGGGTCAGAGTGTGGCAGGGTGGTACATACGTGGAGGCCTAAGTGTCTTCCTCAATTGATCTTCCTATCTAATTTAACTTTTCTTAATTTTATGAAAAGTAAGATACACAAATGTCAAAACCCAAAGAAACTAGTGGTTACAAATGTAGAAAGGCAAAACCAATAGTTCTTTCCATGCAATGGACTTTGAATGCTGAAACAAGGTAGCTCAGTTCTCACTGAGTCATGATTTGTATTCCGACTGGAATAAAACAATTGAGTTACTGTGTTGTTAAAGTCAAACGCTTTATTCTGCTCCTGAGGAAGATATGCATTTAGAGATAATTAGGAAACTATAGGTTCTTTTGACCCATTTGTCTGTTGTCATTTGTGATTCCTATAGTCTAGTTTCCATCTGTACTGTATGAATCCTTTTGGCCTCTTGAACTGTTTTTGTTGTTTGTTTGACTTACAAACAGTGGTAAATGGACAAATAGTCTAATTTTATTTTTCTTAAATATAATTAAAAATTTAAAAAAAAAATGGTACTTAGTAAACTCAAAATTCCATTTGTGATTTCATTAAGTATTCTGAAGTATTATTATAGTAGAGCTAACAATAGTATTTTAAAAGACTTCAGTCAGATCCTGATAGCCTCAAAATCTTATAAATGAAATTAACGAAGGCAGAAGGGTTAAATCAAATCAGGGCAAACTATGCATTTTCTATGTTTACTATTATTTTTTCAATATTTTTAAAATACAGTATGACTCTGTCAAATGCTATCACAAATGTCTTCACATTGTACTCTCTCTCCCCTAGAATCATGCAAACTAAATTTTCCTACAGATCTACAACTTCAGAAAATGATAAAAGGCAAAAACATGCATATCCTTTACTTTGTGTTTTCAGTCTAACAGTGAGGACATTTAATTCAATACTATTCTGGATTAAAGACTAATAATAGTTAAATGACATACTGAAGCCCAGATACTAATTTCTTTTCATCTGATGATCATAGTCTTCAATTAAAAGAAATATAATTGAAACACTCACCAATATAGGAGTAAGGAAGAAAATTACCAACCTCAGTGTATAAAGATCTAAACTCTCTCTTCAAAGAGATCCCCTGAGAAAAACTTGTCCACTGATTTGCCAAGTAAATCTAATTAAGGCTCTAAAATACACAAGGTACTAGTCCAAGCTGAGCAGAGCATGAACAAGCAAAATAAGATCCATGAAACTTACATCCTGGTAGCAATTAAATATCAACAAGAAAAATAATATAATGGTAAATATTTTGGAGAGCTGTACAATGGGAAAAAAAATTGCAGCCGGGCAGTAGTGGCACACACCTTTAATCCCAGCACTTGAGAGGCAGAGGCAGGCAAATTTCTGTGAGTTTGAGGCCAGCCTGGTCTAGAGTGAGTTCCAGGACAGGCAGGGCTGTTAAACTGAGAAACCCTGTCTTGAAAAACAAAAAAAAAGAAAGAAAAAGAAAAATTGCTACATGACAACTTGGACTTGGATGGCTACTGAAGGTTACAGTGAGGAAGCAATGTTCTAGCTGAGTTCAAATGACAAGGAGCATATGTTTCCAGTATGGTAAGGAAACTTTTCACAGTACAGTGAGTAGCATGTACAGTACAGGCATGGAAAATGTGAGGAAGTGAGAGAAAGTCACCAGTCAGGAGCTAGCTCACTGGTGAAAGCAAGGATGATTTGGGGGCAGCCAGGAATACATGAGACAGAAAATAAGTTCAGAGTTCTGGAAGTATAAACCTGATAAATTTGAAAAAGATGGAACTATAGTAGTGTTAACTATCAAAAAACTGTAATGATACCACAAATCTCAATGTACAAACTTATAAATTTTATTACAAATTCAGTTATTTTACTTAGTTTTGTTTTTAACCTTGAGAGTAAGCTTGCATTAAGTATCAAGTATTATAATTTCAAATAACAAGTTTCTTTAATTATAATCAATTAATGTAAGTAGAAATTGGGACCTGAAGTGGTCAATGTACAAGGTATATCCCACCATTCACTTGTGCACTAGGTGGTCACTATATCCCACCTATTGGGATACTGAACTTTCAATGTTTCATGGAGCTATTAATTATATACAATTGGTTGTTTACTTCTACCCCTGCCACACTGTCCTACATTCATTAACAGATTAAGACTGTCTTATATAATTGTGAATATTTAGTAGGAAACAGTAGACTTTTACCATATACTACTAAAGTATATGGTAAAATACAGCTTAGAAGGAATCTATTTATTGGTTTTGTTAAGGATCATACCGATCTGTTTTGCAGCTTGCAGTATATCTTTTAAGTCTTCATTTATACTTTGCATTTTATTCTTCTCTAGTTTTTCATTCAAAAATTTGACTATCTTCTTCCATGTGAGGCCCAAATCTAAAACTTGTTCATGAAGCTTGGATCGCTTCATCTGAAAAAGAGAGTATAATATAGAGATATTCTGGTTAAAGTTTTTCTCCAATCCATTATTTATCATGTATAATTTACATTACATAATATCAATTTTGCACTACCCAGAATTCAAAGTTGTATCTACTCATGTGAAAATTAATTATTCACAATTAAATATAATTGAATTGTGATTTTATAGGTTACAAACTGAGCTGCACAAGGAAAAAGTGTTTTAAAATAAACATGTTTACTGTTTTAATTATAAAACAAGATCATTCATATAGCAAAGTAGAAAGTTCAACATTCCTAAGCTAACATGAAAACATCCCACATATTCCTTCCCTTTTCTGTTTTTTTTTTTTAACAGTATATAATGACCACAAAAATACATTTTGACAGAAGACATTTGAAGACTATTAGAGCCCCTGATTAATCAGTTCAACACATTTAAACAGGACTGTTTTCCAAAGTATGACCCTGGAACTAAAGGTTAGACATAGATTGCTTTCTATATACACTCTTTTCTTGAAACTATAAATCTTTTCCTTCTCAAGAATTGATTACAGAATGCAATATAAATTTCATGTCAGATCCCTGGCTTTGATCCATAGATAAAAGTCATGAAGCAACCTAACAAAATAAAGAACTGATAAGTCAAGTAAAAAACTGCAACTTTACTCTTGCTTGTACTGACGATGGTCATTAATCATTACTCTCCTGATTCAATTTTCTAATTTGAAATGAGGTTAGTCAATCTGAATTAAGAAGAGAGCAGGAAAAGGTGCATCTGAAATAGGCTTTGGTTGTTATAATAAGGTCACAGGTAAAATGATTCATTTTACTTTCATCCATACTTTTGTATATGGGTGAACATTTTCACATTAAAATAAAGTTCATTATACATGCATTTTCCTTCCTCAGGAGGCAAAAGTATTTAAAATCCTACAATAATAAATGAAATGACATGGGGGGAAAGTATGCAATCTTTATGTTTTTGAATTGCAAAAATCTTCCATATTATTACCAGTTCAGAATAATTTGCAAGGCCCTAGGAAGGTGAAAACAAAGTATATGATATTAATGTTAATTAGGAATATAGATTACAATCTTATATTAATTACTGTGAGAAATGTAAGAATCACTGTGAAGACTGTTTTATGGTCTGACACAATTCTGCATCAGTAGAGGGAATTCTACCAAAAGACCGGTAATAAATAATTTTTGCTTTCTGGGTGAATCTGTAGGTGAAGAGATTAACTGTAACACTGTATAAAGACTGCATCAATGAAGTTTATGCCTATAAGGAAATCAGATTTTTCACTCTACAATACAGTCAATTGAGAAGTAAAAATTTATAGAAACTGCTTTAAATTTTTCTTTTAAAGAAAAGCATTGAGGTATTCATAAACTACCTCCTATATTACCACACATAATGGATACATGAGGACTATAAACCCTGAACATGCTGCCAAACATTTAATTTTAAACAATTAACATTATAATTTCATATAATAAATGACTACAGATTTTGATCATTAATTTCTGAAACAGTATATAAAATAATCATATTCAGAAAGAAATATTGCAATTTAAAGATTAAAATAAGTAAACTCCTTGCATTTGCAAATTAGTAAAAATCTATATTATGAGCTTGTGGTGGTATTGTGTTCCCCAAAATATTGTGCACCCTAGTAAACTTATCTGGGGTCAGAGACAGAACAGCCACTAGATACAAAGACCACTCCAGAGGTAGAAATCCCTCTGGATCTCTGTGAGTTCAAGGCCACATTGGAAATGGCCAGGCATGGTGACACACACCTTTAATCCCAGAAAGCAAGCCTTTAATCACAGGGAGTGATGGTAGAAAGCAGAAAGGTATATAAGGTGTGAGAACTAGAAACCAGAAGCATTTGGCAGGTTAAGCATTTGGCTGGATAAGCTTTCAGGCTTCTAGCAGCACAGTTCAGCTGAGAGCCATTTGGATATGAGGACACAGAGGCTTCCAGTCTGAGGAAACAAGACCAGCTGAGAAGTTGGCCAGGCGAGGTTAGCTGTGGCTTGTTCTGTCTCTCTGACCATCCAGCATTTCATCCCAATAACTGGTCTTGGGTTTGATCTTATTAATAAGACCATTCAAGATTCCTGCTACATGAGCTTAACTGCTTCTCCTCAAAATTCACATTGAAATCCTAACCTCCACTACCTCAGAAAGCCATTAATGTCAGGTCATAATCCCACCTGATTGGTTTAATTACAGAAAAACAAACTATGGACACTCAAGGATAGTAGGGATATGTTTCTACATAGGAAAAGTCCTGGGAGATTCAGTGTGAAGGCTGCTATCTATATGCCACAGAGAAGTTTTCAGGGAAAAGAATCTCTGTCTTGATCCTGAACTTACAGCTCCAGCTCTATAGAACACAAAATTTTTGTTGGCAGAGCTACCTAGCCTATGGTATTTTATATTATTCTATATAAATTAATGTATCATAGATTAAGGACTTTTCTAAGAGTCTCACAAATATTTTACATAGAATTTTCAGTAAGTTTTAGTATAATATACTTTTACTTTTTATAACATTACATTTATAATTCCATGTGATTTATTTTATAAACTTACTTACATAAGTAAGTTCACATATAAAAGAAATTCACTATGAAACCATAAACCCTAATTTGTGGCTTAGAAATTTCAGTCATTGAATCAATCTGAAAAGTGACTGGCATTCTTTCCATAAAGCTCCAAAGTGCTATCCTCATTGTCCAGGTGGAAACTACGTTTACAGTGAACGTAAATTTAGTGTTATGTATTATAAAGCTGATTCATGTAAGAGAGTTTGTCCACATTAGTCATTTTCAGTTAGTTATATAACAGTTAAAAGAATCTGGAGTTCCATAAATTTTTATTGCTAGTATTTATTTCTAAAGTTTTGATCATAAAAAGGCCTTACAATTAACTTCTTTAAGCTTTGAATGTACTCTTACCAATTATATGGACAAGTCAACTATGAGACCAACTATGGAGCTTGAAACTAATATTTATATGTCCCATGCTAAGGTACAGACAGTGTTTTTTTTATATGTAAGTAATTTAACAGGATACCTAAAAACACACCCAGCTGATTCAAAATAAATGTAAACTAAATCACAAAATTAACTGTGGTAGAGGCCTAAACAACAGAAAACATGAAGGCCTGTATTTGATTATTCCTTTTGATAACAGTCAGAGGTCCTTAAGTATATAGTTCTGTGAAAACATCAGTATACTCAATCTCCTTCTCAAGACAGAAACAAGATAAAATGTCCATTTTAAGCACATACAAATAAAAAAAGAAATGTCAAATACTCACCCATACTCTTTGTTTTTAATGGTTTTCACCTAAAAACATTTACCTTTAAGTCAGCTACTTCTTCATTATAATTATCTTGCTTGGTGACATTTGAAAAGGAGCGCAAGGCTCCTGTGAGTCGAGGTAAAGCCATCTTTTACTCAATCAGTGATCCATAGAAATAAGAAACTTGAAACTGAAACAAAACATAATGATATTTATCTGTTTAGAAATGACACAGGCAATCAAACTCAACAAACTGACCTACACAAGAAAAATAAAAAGCTCCAAAAGCACTTGCTACCAATGTTAGTTTCTTAAGTATAGAATAAAATCTCCCAGCAAATAATAACCCAAAGTGCTGGAAACTGTGTCAAATATATCACATGAGACAAAATAGACTTTAGAGCAAAAGGTAGAAGGGATTTAAAACAAACAACAAAGATTCTAAACAGTAATAAAAGACAACTAATACATAAAAGTTCTTAGTTTATATACATGGCTTAAAAAAATTAAAAATGAATTAAAACAGACCTCCAGAAGGAAATGGCAAGTCCAGTATCAATATGCAGTACAAAAACGTCAACTACTGATGGCTTAAGCCACATGTCATGCCCCAACCCTATCTTTGGTAAAATTCAATAAAGATACACACAGAAACCTATATTTTATAATTAAAAATATACATCATCATGGACATTTGAAATTTTTTAATTATGTGAGCGTGTGTGTGTGTGTCTGTGTGTGTGTGTCTGTGTGTACAGGCATATACCTGCCGTGGTTCAGGAAGATCAAAGGGTAACTTGACTTGTGGGAGGCAGTTCTCTCCTACCTTACTGGATTCCAGGATTGAACTCAGGTCATCAGGCTTGGCAGTTTTTACCTGCTGAGTCATCTATCTTGCTGACCATGAAATAGTTTTAAAATGGTATATATACAACAGTATAAAGTCTCAACAAATTTCAATTGGTATTGTATAAATCAGGAAATAATATCTGAACAATGCTTTTAGAAGTATTAAATCTACTCTTGAGCTCAATGTGACCAATTTAGTTTGCTGACCTCACAGAAGTCATTCTCTTAACAAAATGTAATTAAATTACAAGTAAGAAACAAAATGCAAGATATTAAAAACATAGGAGACTGCATAAAGATGAGTGAGAAACTGTTAGAATAGCTAAAGGAAAGAACTGTACCTCACAATGGAGAACTTCTATAGAGAAAGTAAAAGGACTCAATTTCTAAATAAACTCCTCGCTAGAGGACTTCAAGTTTCAGCTACTCAGTGGGAATCTAGACAGGTGAGCACATGTGATAACATGGGTGGAAAACAAATCCTTGTGTACCTGCAGGATTTCCAAGCTCTTGTGCAACAGAACAAAAGCCTGGACAGGGACACATGGCTAACAATAGAAGCAAAACAGTTTATTAAGAATGAATAATCACACAAAGGAGGAAGCAGACCAAACCTGTGAGGAATATTAGAAACCAAACGGCAGGCCTACAAGATAGCTCAGTTTTGCAGGGGTGCTGCAAAAGTATATGACCTGAGCTGGATCCCTGAGACCCAGCCACATGATGGAGAGAATCATTGTTCCTGTCTTGACTGCCACATGCATTGCAAACACACACACACACACACACACACACACACACACACACACACACACACACACACACAAATAAATAAAATGTAAAAAGAAAATCTTTTAAGAAAATGGCTAATGTTGCAGAAAGGATGAGGACTTTTATGCCTTATTTCTCCAACTTTCACCTCTATGTTCTATCAGTTACATGCCAGCCTAGGCTGGGCATGTTACAGCATTTCTCTCTGTCAAATGCTTTCTTTCATATGTCAATCTGTCTTTTGAGTGAGGTTTTGCTGAACCTCACATCCCATTCTTCTGTCTCAAGATAATCCTGAGAGTAACAATTGAATGTCTCTAACACTGAGTAATATACTTCGGTGGCTCAGGGGTTAAGAGCACTGGCTGCTCTTCCAGAGGACCAGAGTTCAATTCCCAGCAACCACATGATGGCTCACAACCATCTGCAATGAGATCTGATGCCCTCTTCTGGCCTGCAGGGACACATGCAGGCAGAACACTGTATAATAAATAAATAAATAAATCTTTAAAAAAAAAAAAAGAAAGAAAGCGGGGGAAAAAAGTGAACCAAGAGCTAGTGGACAGCTTCTCAAACTTTATTGTGCACTGGTCACCTAGAGGATTTCTTTTTTTTTTTTTTTTTTTCCAAACCATGGGTGTTTTGTTTTCATGTATGTCTGTGAACTACATGCCTGTGGAGGCAAGAACAGGGCGTTGGATCCCCTGGAACTGAAGTTAGAGTAGTTTGAAGCCACTATATAGTGCTAGGAATCAAACCCAGATCCCTCTGAAAGAGCATCCAGTGCTCTTAACCACTGAACCATCTCTCCAGCCCTGAGGGTTCCAAAAAGCATAAATCACTGCGCCCTATCAACCTCCTCCTTCCTCCCAGTTATCTGATTCATCAGATGACAGGGCCCTGAGCTACACTTCTACCAAATTCACAGAAGATGAAGCATAAACCTCAAACTTTTAAAATGACTGTCTTAAGACAAGATGTCACCTATTCTTAAATCAGCATTCAATGTTTGCACCCGTCAAAACTGCCCCCCCCCCCCCATCCATCTAGTAAGAAATCAATGGCCTCCATTTCGGTTCAGTATGTCTCCTACCAGCCTTTCTCAACTGGATTCCCTAAAAGAATAAATTGTACTGAAAGTATCATGACAAACATTTTTTTCCTCAGTTCTACCAAGGACTATACACAGGTAATATCAGTAGAAAAGCAAGGCATACAATGAATGCCTTCCAATACTGAAGCTTACACCAAAACCAGGAGAATGTTGGATACATTCTCTTCAGGATAATAAAAGCCAGGACTCTTCAAAGAAGGTCCTGACATTAAACTCACATTTTCTGCCTCTGAACCTCACAGTTTTCAAAATGTAAGCTTCAAAACAGGAAATATATAATGTTTGGAATACACTGCCTCAGTGTGGTCTTATGGATAAATGGTGTACTTGGGACCACAAATTTCATAATTATCACTTATCTAACAGTAATACCCTGAATTACCTGTCCTTTCTTTTAAAAGATTTAAATCTTTCATTGATTTTTATATTTACAAATCTAGACAATCTTAAAAACATGACAATACTCTCAACCTTCAGTAAGGAATGTCTAGACAATGGAAAGATGGCTCAGTGGTTGAGAGCACTTGCTGCTCTTGCAGAAGACCCAGGTAATGCTGACTGCCATGTGATTTCTGGGCACCAGACACACAAGTGGTGCACATACATACATGCAGGCACTCACACAAATATATTTTTAATGTAGTAAGGACTGACAATAAGGTCAGTTGTGTCAAACTATGCTGACAAGAATCTGTTGACTTCTTAAGTTTTCCTTTAACCACCACCTATTTCTCAAATCTAAGAACATCTTTCTGTGCTGCACGGCTTCAGTGTTTAACATATGCCTTCAAAAAATAAACATCAATATAGCCATTAAACATAAACCAACTTTTTTACCCAGAGTTCATCTGAAGAAATGAGTATTTCAAGTCTAGAGTAAAAAACACAGCTGTGCAGGATGCACTGACAGTATGTTGTGCCAACATTTCAAGGGTAATTTTAATTATCCATAGTTTTACCTACCAAACTGATGAAAGATCCTCTCTTAAGCAAAAAGTGACTGTTCTTAAACAGTTTTTAAACTTAAAAGTTAGGACACGCATTTGACTCATGGAGAACTCAGGAAGCACAGGAACAGATCATTAAATCTATATACATCTCACACAATACAAAATGTATGTTTGTGTATTTTACAAACAAATAAATCACTCATTTATATTAACTCCGGGTTACGAACTCAAAGACTAGGCGGGGGGGGGGGGGGGGGGGGGGGGGGGGGGGGGGGGGGGGGGGGCCACACAGGCTGACACCAGAAGCCAAAGGATTTCACATTCTAGAAAATCCCACATTTCAACATTTTTGACTCTTAACAAAACATAAGGAAACCTTTTATTTTAAATGTCTTTGGGAAAACAAGATGTTAGAATACTATTTCAGCATCAAAGAATAGTTACAAAACTAAAAAAGAACAAACAAGCATACATCACCTCTTAAAAATCCTGGAGCAGACCCACTACATACTATTTCATATATGTATTTTAACTCTCCCCATACTAGTCCATTAAAAAGAGTTTGGGAAAAATTATGTTCAAAAGGCAAAATTTTCATTTAACTCTAACCGTGAGTCTTAGAAAGAAAAAACCAAGGAATTTATGTCTGCCCCTTAGAAAAACCTAAAAAGATTAACCTGAAATGAAAATCTAAATATTTTCTCACAAAAGAAAAATATATATGTATATATTACATACACAAAACCAAAACTCTAGGGATGTTCTAGGAACAGGTTTAGATGCTTGGAATTAAAGGAACTTTGAACCATCTCTCCATTCCCCTTAGGAGCTCTGCAGTTAGAAAGCATTTTCTCCAAATGCAAGAATTATTAATCAAAAATTGTGATATCCTTAATCACTTATTTTTGCTTGATGGATAATGGTGGATGTGGTGGTATTGTGTTCTCCAAAATATTGTGCACCCTAATAAACTTATCTGGGGTCAGAGACAGAACAGCCGCTAGACAGACATAAAGGCCAGAAAATGGTGGCACTCACACCTTTAATCCTAGCATTCCAGAGACAGAAATCCCTTTGGATCTCTGTGAGTTCAAGGCCACATTGAAAATGGCCAGGCATGGTGACATACACCTTTAATCCCAGAAAGCAAGCCTTTAATCCCAGGGAGTGGTGGTAGAAAGCAGAAAGGTATATAAGGTGTGAGAACAAGAAACTAGAAGCATTTGGCTGGTTAAGCATTTGGCTGGTTAAGCTTTCAGGCTTCTAGCAGCACAGTTCAGCTGAGAGCCATTTGGATATGAGGACACAGAGGCTTCCAGTCTGAGGAAACAAGACCAGCTGAGAAGTTGGCCAGGTGAGGTTAGCTGTGGCTTGTTCTGTCTCTCTGATCTTCCAGCTTCACCCCAATACTTGGCCTCAGGTTTGATTTTATTAATAAGACCATCTAAGATTCCTGCTACAAGTGAATATTTTTAAATCATCCTAATATTAACATGTAAATGAAGC